TTGCTTAGTAGTGGAGGAAGAAGGTAAGAGAACAATTTCAGAACTGGAATATTGGGGGCCATTTGGTATAGGAGCAAATAGTTCTCCACGTTATTGGATTTGGGGGTATCACTGTATCTGAGCTTAGTCATTCATGCTCATAGCAAACTCATTTGTATGACCTGGAAGAATTTAAATGGTATTTAAGAAAGCTGAGCATCGGTCAATTCATCTTAGAGAGATTTTGCTCCAATATGCTTTATCCCTTTTTAGCTGTCTCTAAAGGAATTACAAGCTGTCATAGGGACATTTTATATGCATGGAAAATTCCTGTCCTGCCTGGTGGCGTCAGATGACTAGAGTATTGCTGTAGCATTTGTGTTCCTTCAGATTAGCTAGAAAGTCAAGCACTTTCCCCATCTTTTCCGACACTCAGTCCTCCAGGGCTGCTGATGAGCACGTTCATCCCACCTCCAACCTTCATGAATTGGTGCCCTTGGGCTAGGACCCTTTCAGGCCACCTTTTCAGAGATTGAGGGAGTTTGAGTCTTCACATCCATTCTTTGCCATGGGCAGTCCGTCTAGTGCTCTGTCTCCTGCCACCCCACTCTTGCTATGGTGCCTCCAGACTTTGGCTGATTGGTCATGTCCTCTCTGGAGACTTCTCTGAGGCGCCATCATTTGCCCGAGTGGCTTCATGAGTCCTTTTTCTCTGCCACACGTGTCCCTTCTCATATTTTTTTTTCATTGATCATGATCTTCCTTTGAGAGGAGAGTTCTTCAGGGAGAGCACGGGGCCTCCTGCAGGCGTGTACCTCTGAAATACGAGTGTAACCACCATATACATGCAGGAGGACCTGCGGCAGGTGCCGGGCAGCCTCTGGTTACTACGGCCTTGGATTCTTCCTGGCACTCAGGCTGAGGTCAAACTCCCCCTGGGTGGCTTCCAGCCCAGGATTCATACTCTTTTGAGCCACACCATTCTTGCCCATGTGGCAATCCTCCATGGGAGTGCCTGGATTATCTCTGTTGGCCAGGTTGATGCCGTCTTAGATCTGCATGTGATCTGAGCTCTGCCCTCCCCGTCCTGCCTTTCCTCTTCCATGGGCATCAGACTTGCATCTCTGTCTGAGGGGTCTCCCCACCTACTCTTGTTCCCCTTGTCCTTTGTAGGCATTTCCCCCAATCATACCCTATAAATCCGATCCCATCTGGCCATCTGCTTCTCCAAGAACCCATGCTCACTCAGCATCTATGCATAGTAGATTCCAAAAGTGTCAGTTGAGTGGAATTTATTGTGGTGGTATTGGTCACCAGATAGGGTCTTCACCAGCGCATCTCTTCAATATGGGGGGTTCTATGGTAACCTGGTAAATCATACAAAGGTCAGTGCCTCCTCACTCAAGACTGAGCTGTATCTGGGTAACTTGGGGTCTTGATCATGGGCATTTGTTGATTACACAAGAGATCTACTTACCCTCAGGGTCTAACTGAGATATTTAATCTTGTTCATCTGTCAAGGAGTGGCCCAGGGTACTGTGATTATTGTGATTCCCAGAAACTGGGATAATAAGTTCTTGTTATTTTAAGCTGCTACATTTGGGGTACTTTGTTACACAGCAGTAGGTACTTAATACATGCTGACACAAAACTTTTTAAGAATAATTTTATAGCCTATATGAGATTGAAAATAACAGATGTTTGTCAAGTAGGAAGGGACTTTCTGCATAGTGGCCTCTACACAGATGCCAGAGAGAAGGGGTCAAGTTCAACACAGTTAGAGCAGAGAGGGTGTCTGTAGGTGTGTGTGGTTGGGCAGAAGTGTGAGATGAGTTTTGATTATAAACTTAGATTCCCTTTATAGAATTACTCTCCAGAGATTTTGGTGGATAATCTGAATGAGGAAGTTTAGGGAGACCAAGAATGTGAAAAATTTTTGGAATACCAGACACTGTAGCCTGCACATTCAGCAGTGTTTCCTGCCATTGATTTCAAGGCTACCGTTCTCTGCCTCAGGGGTTTTGATTTTATTCTTCTCCTAATCATTCCTCATTGTCATTAATGTTGTAATAAAATGGGGTGCATGTAGTTTATTGCATGATAATGGGACTCACTGAAGAATTACCGACTCGGTGCTCACCCACAGTCTCGGCCATAGGTCTGGATGGCCCCTTGAAATTACTGTACCTCACCTCATGGATACAGAAAATGAAGTCAGGTGGGGAGGTAGATGTTTGCCTTGATTCTGACAGCCTGAGAGAGGCTATGCAAGGCTCCTACCCCATACACTGCCTAGCGAGGGTTACCATGCACCAGATAAGAACCAATTAAGAGTATAATTCTGAACTCAGAGTGGCCTGGGTTAAACTCCTGGTTTTCAGCATTCTCTGTGTGAGTTTGGATCTATGACTTAACCTCTCTGTCAATGACTTAACCTCATGCTTAAAGCAGGGATTGGAGTGGGGCCAACATTACACGCTGAGGTGTGGAATAACAAATCACAGGCTTGGGGGCAGGCCTGTCCTGAAAACACTTGCCCACATATTGGTTACTGTTATTTGTGATGTTTCAGGAGGTTATTTTCCACTCAAATTCATTTTATTTGTCTCTCCTTTACCCTGTTGCTGAATGAAGGGTGATTATGCGAATGAATCTTAGCTCTAAGTCCTACTGATGTCCCAGTGTATTGTTAGTCTGCCCCATAAGGACTCCCTCGGTCTCCTTGTTGTCATACTCCATGCTCAAGGTGAACTAGTTATCTACCATTGTGTAACTATTTGCTCCAAAACTTGATGACTTAAAGCAACATGCATTTACTACCTGGCAGTTTCTGTGGGGTAGGAATCAGGACACAACCTAACTTGCTTTAGGGTCTTTCAGGCTGCAGTCAAGAAATTGGCTTAATTCAAAAAAGATAAACACATGCAATTTGCAGCAACATGGATGGAGCTGGAAGGGATCATGCTCAGCGAAATAAGCCAGAAAGAAAAAGAAAAATACCGGATGGTCTCACTTACAGTAGGAATCTAGAAAACCTAAACAAGGGAACAGGAAAAAGAATAACTATAAGAAAGAAAATATCAAAATCAACAAACAACTATGAACCAGAGACCCTCTATGAGGGGTGGGGGGCGGGGAAAGGAGGGATTGGGGTCAAAATAAGGGGGTTGTAATTGTATGGGGCATATAAAAATAAAATTGAAATAAAAAAATTGAAAAAAAGAGAAGACTTAGTTTGCAGTCTCACCTGCAGGACGAGAAAGATCTGCTTTCCAGCTCTCAGGTTGTTGACAGGATTTCTTGAAGGCTGTTGCACTGAGGACCTCAGTTCCTTGTTGGTGTTGGCTGGAGGTCACCAGCGACTTCATATGAGCAAGCACACGTGGACCACAATGGGCATGGCTGAAAGAGACAGCCATGGTCTTTTGTAACCTCATCTCAGAGATGACACTTTACCATTTGTCACATTCTGTTCATTAAAAGAAAATTACTAGATCTAGACTACACTCAAGGGGAGAGTTCTCACAGGCTGTAAATCCCAGAGCACACATGTCAGAGACCCCAGGGATTGTGTCAGAAGCTGCCTGGTCTGATGAGCTGGTGTATTTACCTGCACCAACACATTAGGTTTTATTAGGAATAAAGGTCCAGAGTTTGGTGAATGTTCTCCCTTGGCAGAAGCCCATGCCCTCTCTTGCTCTCCTAAATCTTGGAGATCTAGTCTCTGGTCAGAGGCTCAGGACTTCATTGTATGAGTCCTCATGCAGGGTCCTTTCTAGAATGATCCTTTGGAGAGCTGCCAGGGAAAGCATGATGGCTTTCTCCCCAAGTAGGTGTGTGGTACGGCTATTAATAGGAAGGAATATTTTAGATAGAGTAGATTCTTTCATACTGGCTGATCTTTGTTATGTTGAAAAATTCCATCAGTGGTTTAAATGACTTAATAAGGCTACCTCTGGTTGGCTTCTGCTGGTATCAAAACCATTAGAGTGAATGTGGTGAGGGTCACTCTGGGTGCTGGTGCCTTCGGAACGTAGATGCTGACCATTCTATCCATGATCACATGCCCACTTAGCCCATCACTGCTTCCTCGAATCCCAGCCCGGTCAGAATTCTGGTGGGGGTTTCTCTGGAGCTGGCTCAGGGGTGGGAGTTCACTGAAGGGGAATGATCTTAGGTTTCAAAATAGGGTTTGAAGGGCAAGTGGAGTTCCCCCAACCTTGCCATTACTCAAATGTCAGGCTTCCATGTCAAAAGCATCTCTCAAGAAACCCATGATTTTTTTTTTTTTTTTGGACCTGGGACATAAGAAATCAGCTAAGTCTACATCCGAATTTTCATTCAGCATTTCCCCCCAGTGCCCACTGCTCTCCCAGGCATGTCTTCCATCTAATTACCAGGTCCCAGTCACTGTGTGTTGACAGGATTTATTTCATCTAATTTCAACAACAGCCGGGAGAGGTAGATATTGTTAACTCTCAGTTATGTATGAAGGAACTGAGGTCCAGAAACACGAGGTGACTAAGGCAGCAAGAGGCTGAGCCAGGGCTGAAATTCAGCCCCTTGACACCCTAAATTCTAGACTGTTTCCAAAATATAGCTCCACACCAGCTCCAGAGACCAGAGCTCCTGGCCATTCCTGAGCATGGGGGAGCAGTGTCAGCATCTGCCACCCTGGTCAGGGCTCTAATAGTTGAGAAACAGAGACCCTTAGCCAGACCCCTCCTCCCCACTGCTCCACCAGAGCTAGTCCAACTCCCAGGCTTCTGCCTGGCAGTCCTGTCTCTGACACGTCCCATACCGCTGTCCCTGAGCAGGGTCCTGCTGTGGCACTGAGCACATTAAATTATGTTTGCCACTTTCCCAGGTGGTGAGCTGGGGGGAGGGGGCTGGGGGCCGTTAGTCTTGCTAGCGCCTGGCAGCATGTCTGGCACTGAGTGGGCACTCAGTAAAATCTGATGGTGCTTGGGGAATGACTGTAGCCATTTCCCAAGGGAATCTCTAAGAACTGTTTTTTTTTTTTTTAAATGGAATGCTTCACATATTGTCTGTCTTCCCCGTGCAGGGGCCATGCTCATCTTCTCTGTATCATTCCAGTTTTAGTATATGTGCTGCTGAAGTGAGCATAGAACCATTGCTTTCATGCAGCCCTTACACTGGAAGGTTGCTGAAAATTCCAGTCTCCTTCATAGCCCTGAACACATCAGATTGCACTCATATGCCTCCTGTCTTAATTTGTGTTCTCCCAGTGTAGACCTTGGGGGAGGTTTGGGTGCAAGTAATTATTTGGAAGGGGGTGATAGGACAACTATGAGTAAGAGGAGAATAAAAGGGGAGCAGGTTAGGATGTGGTAAATTGGGCTCAGTCCCAGTGGAACCTTGTGAGAAGGGGTGTGAAGCATACTTCTGGAATGTTCTACTGGGGAGATGGAGCTAGGAAATTCATTCAGCTCTCACTGCCCAGTGATTGAGGGTTGTTTCTGGGCTACTGACTCCCTGGCACTATCCTGCAGCCACTGGTGTGCAAGAAGTTGTGTCTAGAAATGACTTGTGAAGCAGCCTCCCAAGAGCCTCTGCTCCTGTCCTCATGGGGGAAGCAAGCTCTTTAATAAAACCCGCAGCTGAGGTTTATTTTGAATTTGTTATGTGCCAGGCACATGTGTGATTTCAGTAGTTTTCATAACCGTAGGGTTACTATTATCGACTCCATTTTATAGATGGGGAAACTGAGGCTCAGAGAAATGACCTAACTTGTCCAATTTAGTGAGTGGCAGACCCCGGATTGTTCCTGGCTTGTCTGCTTCCCTCCTAGTGCTCGTTCTGCTCCATCACATCTTCAACTGTGCTGGGCAAATAAGATGATGATCCAGTTAAAAAGTCAATAACAGCAGGGATCCTGGAGACCACTTAAAAGTGCAGTGTTGGGAAGTTCAGGCCTCGGATAACCACAGACCGGGTGACAATGAAAAGGCAAAAAAGTGGAAGAGCAGAAATTCCAGGTGTCAGGTCCAAGTCAAGTTGACATGGGGGGTTCTGCAGTGTGTGTGGGAGGACAGAGAGCAAATTACATCTCCAAATACACTTGCCAGCACCTTGCAAATCAGCTGAAAGAGCTTTTTAAAAAGTGCACCCAGTAGAAGATGCACTAAAGAATAATAAAAAATAATTGGAACCCCAACATTTCCAGTTTGAATGACTCATTTGGGGGTGGCTGTGGGTTACCAAACATATATGGTATCACCCTTTTGTGGCAACATGCCAGAGCTGGAAGGACCTTCCCTTGGAAATACTTGACAGGTCTTCGCTGTTCCAGTGGGAAAGCAGAGTGGCTGGAGGACATGGCTCCCCCACGGCCACACCGACACCCTGGACCTGCACACTGATTCTCAGTCCTGGGTCAGCCATTTCCATTTCTAAGTGGAGCCTTGGAACCCCCAAGTGAACTGTGCCAATCAGGGCCCATCAACCCCTCCCCTGATCCCTGGAGAGAGCAAGATGCTGCCCTGGCATGTGATTGTGAGGGTTAAGGAAATCACGGGGTGAATCTGCTGCCCTCTGCCCCTCCCGTGATTGTTGCAGAGTCCTGTGGTGGTGCCCAGCTCCTGCCACTCTGCCTAGCCAGAATGCTGGGCTCAGAGTCACAACCAACAATGTGGGGAGGGGCACACCTGAATGACAGAGGCTGGCATCCTACTGGCTCTGTGCCACCTGCACATCCACCAAAATGAGGGGCCTCTCCTGAAGGACCCCTGTTTCTCTTGTACTGACCATGACCTGCTAACACCTCTAGTTGGGCATGAAACTTCACCCCTAGTTTGTGAACAGCATCCACAGTACCCTAGGAATGGGGGCAGGGCAGGAGGGCAGAAAATGATACAGGATGCCCTTTCCTGCTAAGAAAGACAGGCTGAGAGGAAAATCAGGCACTAGGGAGTCCAGGTAGCCCCTGGCTTCTCTGCTCTTCTGTCCCATGAAACACAGAGCTGAGAGATGGCTGAGTGTTCAGACTTGCCAGCTTGGGGTGTGAAGATACATGGCTGAGGGCACAGAAGACACGGATGTTACCTGCCTGTGTTCTGAGCTGTTTTCCCTGCTGTCTGGAGGGTGTGGCTTGGAGGGGGTGGGCGTTGGTGGTGGGTCTCAGTGAGGTGGATTGCTAAGGTGAGGGAGGCGTGGCTCTGCCTTCCAGAAGGGGAGTGGGGCTATAATCCGTATTCCTCCAGAGAATGTTCTAAGCACTTGATACAGTGTGTGTTAAGGAACTGCATCACCACCGCACCGCACCTTATAAGGTAGATTCTATTCTTATTCTCATTTTAAAGCAGGAAACACAGGCACAGAAAGGATGAGTAGCTTGTCCAAGGTCACAACTGGAAAGTTACTGAAGCAGGGGCTGAATGCAGATTGCCTAACTCCAGAGTCCGTTCTCTTAAACCCTACAAGTACTTCACCGACATTCATTTAGCGACCTTTGTATGGCAGGTAGTGACAGGTGGATCATAAATATGATCTGCTCTCATGGCCCCCAGCAATTTGGAAGGTAGATCTTACAGTTTCCATTTTATAAATAGACAGGCTCAGAGAGGGAAAGGGGCTTTCCCAGGTCACCTGTCTCGTTTATGGGGGCACCTGAACTGGCTACAGGCCCCTCCTACAAGCCTGTGTAAAGGAAATGAGCCCAAGAGTGTTAATAATCTCAACAGAAGTGCCAGGCGTGATGTAGAAAAGTAAAAGCGAACCAACTTGGTGGGTGTGGGGGAGGGAGCAGTGGAGATCATGGGCTTCAGAGGGTCCTGGGAGGATGGGCCAAGTGGAATAGGGTGGGTGGACATCTGTGGGGGGTAAATGCACAGAGATAGGCCAGTGAGCCTATTGGGAGCAGGATGGTGAGCAAATGTAGACAAAACATGAGCACCTCTGAGCCCAGGGGAGCAATCTAGACTGCCTCTAGCCATTTCTTGCAAACAGCAAAGGTGTCCTTGATCCCCCCACATCCTCATTCCCTCACCCAGACATAAGTCCTGCCTTGCTCTAGGGGGCAGGAGGACCACTGGGGAGTTGTTTGACTGCAGGGACTTCCTAGTGGGTTCCTTTGTCCCCAGCACAGTCTGGGGAGATTCTTTGCTGCTTCCATCAAGTTCAAAGTGCTTCATTCCTGAAGAGGGAGATTCCACAAGAGCAGCCTTCAGACCTAGTCATGGCATGGACTGGAGGGATGGGCTGTGCTAGCAGGCAGCCGCCACCTGCAGCCTTGGGAGACCCCACATCTTTGACCCAGTCTCAGGGTGAGGAGTGTAGACAGCTGGGTGTAGACGGCTGGTGTAGATGGCTGGGTGGATTTGCTTTAAGTTGCACAAAGACCCCACCTTCCTTGCTGATGACTGGGGTGGAGAGGCTGGGTCTGTGAGATGCCAGGCCTCTCTAAAGGTGCTCCCAGGAACATTTACTTCTTTTCTGCCCTGTCCAGAGAGAGGTACCACCAGGGATGCTTTCCAGTTCACCTTGAGAAGTCACCAAATTATTTTAAGAACTGAGTGCAAAATAGAGAACTCAGTTTCTTAGTGATATGTGTATTTATTGTGTTGGGAGGAAAATGGCTTAAATTGTGATCATCATGATCTGACCTAAATATCAGCAAAGACAAAATGCAGATGCAGGAATCAGGACAGCGCCCTCGGGCTGCAGGGGCTGACCCTTAGCACCCCACCCACCCCACACCCCCTCCCACCCCACACCCCTGCTCCTAGTGTCACCACTGTCGTCTCTTCCTCCTCGTTCTCCGCCTTGCCCAAGAACTGTAGGGACACAACTCTTCCTGCGCCTCCACTGGGACTTGCCGTGGTGTGGGTGCAGCCAGGGCTAAATGACGCTGACTTTTGGGCCTGGGCTACCCTGGGGGAGGAGTTCTCAGATACCTGGGAGAAGGGGTTTCCAGTGCCTGGAGCTCTGACAATTGGGTCAGACCCTGGGGCTGGTGCCTTTGTTCCTGGTGGTGCTCACTTAGGCCTCTTAGTTTCTCCTGCTCAGCCTTCATATTTTTTGGCATCTCCTGGTGATCTCTTAATCTGTGCCTCTTTTCCCTTTAACCAAGGCAATCTGCTTTCCTGGTAGTGAGGGAGCTCAACACAGTACGGCCCGCAATGCTTCTGCTTTTGTCTTCTCCAACCCAGTTCTGCAACTTCCTAGGTATCGAGGATGCTTGATCAGGCTCACAGCAGTTCTTAGGGATTTATCTGTTTGTTTTGATCTGCCACATAGAAGCGCCTGAACATCAACCATTACGGTGAAACAGCCCCCGATGCTGGACCCAGTGTTGGCTCAGCCCAGTAGGGGACAGTTGAATGTTCAGTGCGAGTGTCTTTAAGTCACAATTTTCTCCACCTCCCAGAAAGGCTTTAGTTCTTGGGCTGCATTTCACTTTCTTCTGTTTTGATGCTTCTTGTCTAGACATTCAGGAGCCCAGTGAGACACCACATTCTTTAGCACTTTAAATTTCATTGAATAAAGCATTCCCCATGTATTTTGAGGGTGGTGGGTTATGACATAGACTTTGAAGGCACCCTGCCTAAATTCAAACCAGGGCCCTGCCATTGCGGGCTGTGTAACTTGAGCAACTCACTCTTTCTGAGCTCACTGGACTCGCACAAATGTGGACTGAAACACACCTACATCCTAGGTGGTTGTGGGGTAGGCAGGTGGATAAACAAGGCTGCAGCCTCGTCAACCTATGTAAGTGTGAGTCATGCAGTCATTTCTATCTAATGGGCTATAAGTAGAAACAAGTCACATTGTCTTTGTATGATTTGCATAGAAGAACAGGGGTGAATTCTCTGCCTTCTTTCTTTTCTGTGTTGGCTGAGGGGGCCATGCACTCCAGGGGGGGTGGCTACCACATGTGGGGTCTCCATTATACTGGGTCCTGGAGTGCCCGTGTGCTGAGCCGCTGTGGACAGGGAGTGTGAGTGAGAAATAAATATCTGCTGTGTTAAGCCACTGAGATTTCAGGATTAGTTTGTTATGACAACATAACCTAGTGTTATTCTTGCTGATACACAAGCAGAATTCATCATTTTTCAGTGATGCTGGACAATTGACTTTTTTATCAATAAGAAGTTTAATGAGATTTG